TTACTATTCACAGTATGAACCTAATACAACGCTTCATAGGACTTTTAAAGATGCTTGCACATTTAAAAAAAAACAGAAATATATTATTCTAACGCTACGTTTGTTTTCTAATTAACAATAAATATATTCCACACATTTTTATTATGAGTCATTTCTATGAAAAATCAGAGTCAGAATACTTTATTGATCCCTAGGGGAAATGATGTAAATCACAAAATCATTCTGTGACTCCCACCTCAGCTGATTTCTTTTCTTTCTTTTGTACCATTTTTCCAGCCCAGAGGTAAAAGCATTTCTGATCCCTCAAAGCTGCAACCACAGTTTCCCGTTCTTTCATTTTAATTTTGACCCAGAGAACTGCTGCTCATTGGATATTTCCTCTTTTTCGTGATCCTTTCCTGTAAACCGTAGTCACGGTTGTGCAGGAAAATCCCAGCAGAAGTCACTTAAATCGCCTTTCTGCCTCACTTTCATGCTCATTTTGAACTTCTCGTCGATGACTGCAGTCTTTACCTGAATGCACAGAGTTGAACAGGTGTGTCTAACTACCAGCAACATTGTGCAAAAAAGGCAAAAAAAACCCCACAACAAAACAAAACAAATTGTCCTCCTCCAGGTAAAACGTATACACTTCAGGCAGCTCTGGACCTGTTTGAAAATCCACCCACTTAAAAGAGCAGGAAGCCCTGACTTTAAGGGCTCAGGGAGATAATGCGAGTGAAACCACAAAAATTCACTGTTTGCTGCTGCAGCTCAACTTCAGGGTGTGTTAGCTTTTAATCCTAACATTGTTTGCTTTCCCAACTAATGACTCCTACTCTTGTGTTAATCACCTGTCTCTTAAACAGTGACCACTTTTCTTCAGTCCTGAAAAGCCGATCTGTGCAGGAAAAGCTGTACTCTAGTCTGTTCTGCCCCCTGCTGGTGATTCTGTGAACTCAGTCAATCGTTTAAAAACGATCATATGATTTGACTATTTTTACTTTCTAGTATGCAAGTAAAAAAAATGAAGTGTATTAAATTATACAAGAACTTTATCTTAGTGGACTAGAGACATGAGACCCATCCTTTTCATTGTGTCCTTTCTATTGGTTCTTAGGAGGATAAGAAGATAAAAGATCTGGAGTTGATTCCATGTGTTGAAGTTTCATTTAGTAGCTTTTCACTGGAATCCTCAGTATGAGGACCAAGTAATGGAGGTCACCATTAGGCTGAAAAAACAAAACAAACCTAACAGGAAAAATGTAAAAATTTGAGGAATGGCAAAATTAGCAACTTGGTAAAGTCTTAAAAAGAAGGAATAATAACTGAATTCTTTCCATGCTTAAAATCAGCTTCACAACTCAAGAAAACTCTTGTGGAGTTAGGTATGTTATTATAACAGTTTTCAAAAAGGTGCAAACCACAAGAACAAGAAGGTCAAATTGGACTTTGCCAGAAAACATCTAGAAGAAACTGCAGAACTCTGGAAAAAAAAACAAACAGTGTTTGGACAGAAGAAATCGAAGTTAACTTGTACCTTAATGATGGAAAAAGGAAAGAGAGGGAGGAGAAAAAACAGCCCATGATCCGAAGAAAAGCACGTTGTCTGTCAAACATTGTAGAGGTAATGTTATGGCATGGGCATGTATGGCTGCCAGTTGAACCAGTGGAAACTGGTGTTTACTGATAATGTGACAGCTGATAGGTATACATGGACAATAACCCAAACAATGCAGAAAATGAGATATTCTTCAATGGCAAAGTCAATGACCTGAACTCAACCCAATGAAGCTGTTTTTTCAGGTATTAAATACAAAACTGAAAGCAGAGAGACCCACAAGCAAACAGCAACTATAGGTCGAGCAGAGAGAAAATAAAGCATTTAGTAATGACCAAGGTTTCTAGAATTGCCATTGATTGCAAGGGGAATTTTGAGTTTTATGTTTGCTCTTAAATAATAAGGATGAGAAATAAATGAATAAAAAAATCTGCTACCTTAATTAAACAAATTAGAAACTAATTGCATACCTTCAACTGCAACAACTGAACATTTTTTCCACATACGTTTTAGGAAAGTAAGACATGACTCACTTTTTTATTTACAGGAAAGGTTTTACATGGTCAACATACTAGAAAAAAAGACAGTAAAATTCACATTCACACGGACTCACTGACTCTTTTAGTTGCAATTGATAATACTCAGAAATGTGGAACAACAGATTAAACTAAAAAATACATCACGCCTTGAAGGAACAAGTCCTGCACAATGTTGAATTTACTGTTAAAAAATGATCAATCATTTAAACACTACTACTATTTAGATGCTTAGCTTACCATGAAGATTGAAAACAGCTGTCCTGCTCTGTATGCTCGCTCAGGGCTCAACAGTTATCTTGAAATGCCTCTGGCCACCTGTTCATGCAGTTATTGCAATGCAAAATTAAAATGAGCTTTAATTTTAATGGTAGTGGCGGGATTAAAAACTACATGTATGCAATTAGCAGTCCAATCTGATGAAAACGGGTTAAAAAGCTTTCCTTAAAAAGCTTTTTCCTTTCCCGGAAGTTAAGTTTCTGATGCCATATTTGCTGTTGTAGAATTTTCCTGTAATTCAGGATTCATTTCAGGATTCACCCCGGACCATATTTCTTACTTTAATTCTCACTGATGAAATAAATTACTCCC